AATATGTAACAGATGCCTTTCTGAAACTGCAGTACCTGCAAAACAAGATTCTCCTACATGCAAAGTGGTCTGCGACTTGAATGTAGCTTTCAAAGTTCTGTATGTGTATGATTTAATTACAAAATCATGCAGGCAACGACCAGAAGTCATACAAACATTCACAACATAGGACAAGACGAAGTCTTAAAAAAAATAGTCTTAAAGTTGGTGGTGACTCAGTTCATAGCCGTACAAGAGAGAAAGATTTGATTATAACTTCAGCTCACTACTTGTAACATAACACATATATGCTGTACAAAACCTGGACTGACAGTGGTCATGTGTACATGTACATATGTAATATTTTAAGAATGTTTAAATATGCAAATGTGTACATTATGGCAATAAGTTGACTATGATGAATACAACTGACAAAGGAACAATAAGACAGACTAATCCACTCATCAGAGAGGACACTCCAAGACATGTAACACTATAACAATCAGACTAACGACTATTAGCCACAAAATGACTGACTGACAGCTAAAAGCGACTCTGGCTTGGCAGTGTACAACTTAAAGAAGGAACAAGGAATTCAATATTAGAGATTTTTTATTTGCATTCTTTTTTTCTAACTAAACTCATATCATATTTCCATAAGACTATATTTATCAGCATTACCACAGACTGTGTTTCTAGATCAGTGTTCTGATATATTTCATAGGTTCACTCAACTTCTTAGTTGGCCAGTCAACTAGCAAGGTAGTTTTAACGTTATTCATTAGATTACGAGACTTGCCTACCTGAAGACTAATCTCAGAACATATTAATCTTGATGTTTCACAGCAGTCCATATTCAACTGCAGAGTCTTATGGACTTTTTAACTTTCTGACATGGTGCAATGCTCAACTGAATACCAGGAACAGTTTCTACTACATATGAGCTTCTTCCATGCTGCCTTTAAGTGTGTGTGTGATCCCTGTTCTTCAAAAGTGCGGCAAACTCTATGATCTCCTAAACGAGATGTGACGTGCATGAAACTTTTCAGTTGTCAGTAATATCCACGACAATGAGGAAAATCAATAAAATTTTATGTGGACAAATTAATTGCTGCACTTTATATCAGTAGATACACTAGTTCTGCGTTAGTTCTGAACAAGAGCTCCATTAGATTAGAAAACAACAGAAGTCTTGTTGCTCCTCTTGAACATTTTAGAATGCAGTTGCACCAAGCATAAACCGGATTTGTTCAAAGGATAACCAAAATGTGAGGGACCACGGGGCCATCCGAATCCACACAGGCAGGAACCCCTTATACAGTGCAAATAAGCCTTCATTCCGAACAGTCTTCATGAGGCAGTCCACAGATGATTTATAGATGACGCCACTGCCAACATGAACAGATACTCTTCAACATCACAATTTCTCTAATGTTTGTTAACAAGCACCATATCATATAGGTGTCGAAGCCAGTTAGTCTGTCATGGCTATAGCATGATTTGAATATATTAATGTTGTATTTTAGGAGCATTCACAGCATCCCTGTGGAGTGCCTATCAAGTTTGCTCTGTCCAATCAACCATCCATACACAACTCAAGAACAGCTGAACAGATATTCATTAAATCTGGTATGGAAGTTATGCCATTGGAGGCTAGTCGAAATTCATAATTTCTAATTTCCTACAGTGATTAATACCAATATGACAGTGCTCAAACTTGTGAGGTGGGAGGAGGACTCTCTGATAAGGACATCTGGTATGGAAATAATACGTCAGAAAAAATGTAAAGAAATGCAGTAAATTAAATGCCACAATGGACATCAAATCCACATGCAAATTCATAATAATGCATCTGGGAGGAGATATATATACGCATACACACACAAGGAGAAAACACGTTACATGAAGAGAGAGGAAGGGAACACACAAGTTTTAATTTGAGCACTGGTTTAAATACGGCTCTGACTTTAAATCTGTAAGTACCTTTACCCACATTATTTGCAAAGTGAAGAGTGTATTTCAGACATTAAAACATGAACATACAATGCACTGGTCCGCACTTCTACACAGACCCATTTAAAACCTCATCAGCTGCAACTTCCGTGGTAAATTGTGAATGTAAATTGCAGGAAATGTAATTAATGACAAAGTAAACTTGGAGGTTTCACTGTATATTTACTTTCAGGTCAGAGTTAAATTACTGTGAGCTGTTGTTACTTACTTTCCTTTACTATCTGTAGGTTGGTTCATAATTCTGGTCTTGACCACATCTGCTGGTGTTCCCATCGTAGCAGCTACAAGCCCAGCACATATGCTGTTCCAGTAAACAAAATACGCCAATCATAATTTATACAATAGCTTAAGGCATTCTATTGGTTAAAATTTAACATAACCACAAGTTTTTACACAGACTGCATGATTCCTATCTTGAAAGCCAACTTTATTCTTTATTACGCCATCTCCTTTACAGGAGGTTGACGACATATTATGAACAGGATCCTTCCATCCTTTTCTTGGACTGGGACCTGTTCATACACGTTCTTGGCAGATGATCCAGAAGTGGTTTGCCATTGCCTTCTTCTGTGTGTGAATGGAGTAATTGTTGGGATGCCACGGAGAAACCGGGGAAGCCCCCGGAGGAAAACTCTGTGATACCTGGACCACGGCCTTGCCCAACACAAGTTATAAATTCGGGCACCGCCGGGAATCGAACCCGAGGCCCCAGGATTACAAGGCCAGCGTGAAAGCCAACATATTACATTAATCATTCAAGACTATCCATTCATTAAAGAAAACAAATTTACATTAAAAAGTGAATTTTAAAGCTTATATCACTGTAGAATAATTTTTTTTTAACTTCCACAGAGGGAATACATTAAGTCTGAACTAACTCATACTATACTGACTGAGCTGATCTCTTATATCACTGTAGAATAATTTTTTTTAACTAACTAACTAACTCATTCTATACTGACTGAGCTGATCAGGAGAAAATGTCTACTTGATTGAGTGCATCTCTCCATTTTTGTTCCTACCTGGATAGGATATGCGTGAAATGACTGTCAGTCAGTGAGGTATGCGTGAGAATGAACCTCTTAGCAGTGTCATAGGTGGTTAGATCTCCTAAATTCACTAATGCTGCTCTTTGTACATTAGGTATCGACCCTTTCCATAAGCCTTTCACTCCACCTCTGGCTAGGATCTGAGAGAAAGCATCCCATGTGCTGCGAACCCTAGAAAGAAAATAATGTCCTAAAATGGAAAAATTATACTGGTATTCTGCATGTCTATGTGTCTATGCCCTCTTGTTCAGCACCCTTCTTTCAGGGTTAAGAACAGGAAGTTAAAAAAACACACATGAAATAAAACTGAGTATAAAGAAGACATTTTACAAACCTTGGTGGTTTCCCTAATAATTGTCTCCTTCCTTCCATTTGTATTTGTACTTTAACAAGATCTGTAGGGCTGGCAAAAAACTGAGCTATTACCCCTGAAGTTACCCCACTCACGGCAGACTTCCTGAAATGTAACACAAACTTCAAAGGATAAAGATTTATAATTGCTCTTTATAATGTAATCAATAAAATTATGTCCATACTACATTCTTTTAACACTTTAAAACATGATAATATAAGAATTAATGCTTCATCATCAAAAACAGGATTAATCCATTGTTTGTTTTTGAGTGGTTCATCAAAATTACAATAAAATTCAAGATACTCTGACTGCACTCCCTTTATAATACATTTTACCTAACTGAATTAGGTCTGTAAACATCTGTACTATTAATGTGGTAGACTATGTAGCACTTTTACCCACAGATTACAACACAGACTTAGCAGAGCTTAACTGAAAGATATACTCACAATTTCCATAACCCTTTATACAGAAATAAAATAAAATGATTAAATGCTGATAGACAGGAAAAATGATTTATAATTAGAACTATATTCCAGAATTCTTCTGAACTTTGGATTCAATTGGATTGAATGCCACACTTGTGAGGTTAACACTTCTGCTTGGTATTTGGGAGGTCTTGGGTTCAAACCATAGCTTGGTGACTACCTAGTCTGACTCAGGTCTCTTTGTGATGACCAGCTTTAGTGTACCAACTTAAAGTTCAATTGCTTCAAAATTTAATTCTGGAAAAATCAAGACCAATGTTTCAGAAAAATGTTTGTAACAACAACCCTGAAGATGAGAATGAAAGTCTTCACTGTTGTGAGAACTTGGTGCTCACAAAGGCTCTATAACAGTATCCAAATTATACTCCTAAACTAATTGTAAACTATTATACTCTTGTAAGTGGAAGGTCACCTTTGTTACATTAGATTATTTAGATTTGCTTGCATAGAACTGATTAACTACTATTTCCTTTTCCAATGAAAATACTCTTCAGGTGTTCTTTGTACCCCAATGTGAGAGAATAACAACTTATGAGGCTATACATGTCTGTCTCTTGATTACATTCTCCTAGAAAATATGCAACCTTCATGACTGGGGCCACTGTAGGAACATACTATTACAACAATGATAACTGATGTAATTGCTGGCTTACAACAGTTTCCTCAGTTAACATTATCTCAACAGTGGCCTTAAATACCACTGTTGCATTTATTACTGTTTCAAGTTTGAGTGATCTGAGTACACAGTTCATTGGGGCTGTTATCAACAAAGCAACCTGCTGACACCACAGTCTGTGTTATATAAAGTCACTCATATAAACATCAAACATATAATTCCTTACACTTACCACACAGGAAAGGAACCATCAGGTTCCTTCTTCAAAATTTCATCTCGTAACGTTTCATAACTGACAATGCGGATACCCGAGTATATTACATGTCTATAAATGGCAGGTGTTATACCTTGCCACAGTTTGAGCAACCCTTCTTCCTTTGCAATACCTAATGCAGTTTGCAGCATACCTCGATATGGTATAGCCTAAAACAAAGAAATTGTTAATCATTAAACTTTTCACAGGTGCTCTTCATAAACATGTTTTTTGAAGCACTTCATCTTCAGCCTTAAAGATGGAGGAGTATGTTCCTCCAAAATGCAGATGTCTATCTAAAAGTCCACATGACATTACAACCAGAAGATTAGCATCAACATTTTTCTGTTGTGAGTCAAAAAGTGGCCTTCCAACTTCAAGGTCCAACAACAAGCAACAATGACCAGATGAGTTTATACCAGACTCTGTCTACCATCCTTCATAGGACAATGGCTGTCCCTGAAGATGGGGTACCAGTGTTTCTGCAAATGTGTATGTACTGAACAATAATGGGTATGCATCACATCATTCCCTGATGACCTACAAGGTTTACAGACCAAATGCTTTGCTGCCAGTCAAGAGTATTATGCAAGTTAATAGTTCTGCCAAAGTTTAGTGAAGTAAGTCAGCATGAAATGAGATTTTGATGAAGTGGCAACATAAGAAATCCCACACATTAACATCTTTAGGCACATAACTAAGATCATGAATATTGCATGTTATTAATCACAGCCATCAACATCAGCTTCATCAGCCTGGTACTTACATTTATACTACTATGCTGAGCTGCAGCTACTTCTCCCTGAATTTGAAGTCTTGTTTTTGTAAGATCCAGTGGATAAGTAACTAAAATATAAAGAATAAATCAATGATAAAGAATTAGCTGTTGGACCCAGAAATGTACCTGAAGATGAGCAGATTCTGCTCATGGGAAAAGAATATTTATATATATTAAATGAACTGTTTTGAATTCATCATTGTTATTCTTCATCTTCATATTTCATGTGACTGCATCAACTGTTTTTGTTATTAATGACCAGATGAGATATGGTAAGGTAATACTGAATGATGAACAGGGAATAAAGACAAGGTCATTTGACTAGAGGGCCTGAAGATAAATATTAATATCTACAGGAAAGCATGCTTCCATCTGGGATTCAAACTGGATACAGGAAGTATGTTCTGAAGATTTCATGGCAACCAAGTACAATGAATTCTTCTCAGGCTCCAGTTGTGTAAGGTGGTTCAATGGAGAAAACACCAACGTTTCAAAAACCATATTCATTCTTAACCTCAGGGTATGAAAACGAAGATGGTTCTCCTTTCTGATTGATATACAGTGTGAATAAGAGTTTCAAAGCAGATCCTGAATGCGCTCTTTCAGTGAATGGAATTATTATTAAGTGAAGATGCACCACAAAAACATTTTTATCCAGACATAAACTTGCAGCCCAAGTATATTTTTTCATACATATCTGTATGAAAAAACTACTGCTACACAAAGAATTATGTGCATTTAGTTGAGACACTGCTTGAACATTTTAAGAAATCTACAAACAAAAAATCACAAATACTTACCTACTTCTGCGATACTGGCTGCAATAACTGATACACAGTAAGTACACCAAAATGTATCTGCATAATTTGTTTTAAGGGGAACTGGTACTGGAGAAGGCACCATTCTGTGGCGTTCACATAATAATTTATACCCTTATTCGAAGCTGCTGTCTTATATAATGACAATTTAATTTAGGTTAGGTTCATTTCGCCAGACAAGGTTGGTGAACCATCAGCTGACTGCACTCATTACACATAAAAGCAAAAAAGACTCATATTTATGCCCATAAAATTAAGCTGAGGAAAGTATTGCACGCACTAAAATTTACATCGCGACCTGTCAACACCCCACAGAATACACGAATCACTATCTTACGTTAACCTTTGTAACTGGTAGAATAACCTCTCAACTAGATAATATCAAAGATAATTAATCGGAAACAGGAATGAAACTATACACTACAGAAGAACGCTTATTACAGTCGGTAAGAGAATTAGAACAATGCTTGTTAAAAGAAATCTACGATATGAATTTCTTCGTGGATAGCAGGGCGACCGAAACGGTGGGTCAAAGGGCTGAGAGATGGAGGCACTGGGACCTCGAAATATTATAGAAATCAAACAATATAAATACTGCCTTTAAGAACAGTGATTCCTAAAAGTGCACCCTAATATCGTTAAAATGATGAATGCAACAAAAAGTCCAACTGCAACAGTGGTATTACTTTCTTTCGGGCATGCGATATTTCTGATTTTCACGGCGGCGAGTATGAAGATGACCGTCTTCTGGAATGCTGAGCCGTGTAGTCTGAAGCAGTTGCCGACATTTCAGAGGTGTTTGTTGCTTCCATGATGATGGGGATTTCCTTACCTTTGCCTAAATGTGGGCATTTCAAATATGTACATGCTTATTTATGAATTGGGACGGTCATTCAGTATCATAGATAAGTGCTAACCTCAATCCCTCGATTCTCAGTCAGCTCTTTCTAACGGACCCTATAGAATAGGTACACATAACCTAAAACTGGCTTTACTTAAACCCTGAATATGGAGGTAGCATGTTCCACAAAAATGTAAAACAACCAGAAGACTTTCATGGCATTTAGCATTTTTGCGTTCGTGAAAAATTTGCAATTAGGCACAATCACTTTTCAGTTCACAATGAATGAGTTATAGTACATACATCACACAAACAAAATGTAAGCATGTTCAGGAAAGGCATGATCAAACAGCTCTAAAAATATGTTTTATTAAGTGAAATGTGTGAAGTTATTTACTCACATCTTGATATGCAGACACATGAATCTCATGTTGATAAAGTTTTGTTATCGTGTATAAATATTTATTTAACAAGAGCTAAATAGCACACATAATTGAAATTTACAACACTGAAAGGAAATATCAAAAAAATCTTTTGTAGCATGCAGCGGAAGTGTCGTAACTCCAATCATGGTCATTATAATAGGAATACAAATGTTAACATTGCAGTAAAATCGCAACTTAATCCAAGGAAGCAAACAGAACTTGCACATGGAAGAATTTTACAGAACTTCCTCTGAAAACTCCATTCTACAGTAGTCACACACTTTGGGGAATGGAAATTAAGCACACTAAATGCTTTCTTTGGCTCACTCACCTTTTTATTGCCACTCACAACCATTTTGTCCTCCCTGTATTTTTGAGGCACTTAAAGCAGCACTTCCATACAGCAGATGTCTATGTAAAACATATCCTAAATTGGACATGTAATTCTGAAGCATGCTTAATCAGCACCATCTGTATATGATCAAAATCTCCCTCATCCCACTTGTTTTACATCCATTTATTATAACAGCTGGTCTTCCTTTTAGGCCCATGACACAGAATATTATAGCTTTGAATAATAAATAAGACCATCAAGCCTGTCTGTAATCAAGTAACGTTGCATCAGAAAAAGTAAAGATTTGCCTGTACCTATACGCTGTACAACAAAGGCACACAGAATGTAATGTTAAAGCTCCAAATATTGTCAATCTTAATGTATGAAAGTTTCATGCTCCAACAGCTTCAGCCCTGTACCTATCGTATAGGTGAACCCTAGAACCAGCTTGGACATAACGGTAAAGACAAAAATCCCACTCTAGTGGCAACAAGCCGCCAAATGTTACTTCCCTAGACATTAACTGAGACATGTTGTGCCTTTGAAGTAAGAACTGAATTTTTAATTATTAAGACAAACTTTGGCTTGCAAGGACAAACATAAACAGACTGTACAATTACACAAAACTGTTTTATTTTTAATTTCATTCAGCAACATGGTCACCACATGCAGTCTTTATGGACTGTAAATGCTATGTAAAGTTGCTTATCTGAACCAAATGAACATAATATGCTTATATTTATACATAATTTCAATGTCAGAGAGACCAGTTTTTCATAAATAACTGCAAATTCTTGTACATTTATGTTTAATAAATGGTACAGTATGTAACTCAGTTCACCAATATCAGTACTGCTGCCATGTCATTCAGGCCTTCAGGTACGTCGCATGATGCTTGATGTGTTCTTCTATGAAGGAAGCTATGTAGTAGTAACTATGATCATAACCATCTCTCATATGAAGAATTACAGGTACCTGAGATTCCTTACAAGCACTTATAAAGTTGTCAGGAAAGAGCTCTGTTGTCAAGTTATGGTCAGCTTTACCCTATTAAAAAAAAATATTCACCACTTTAGACATAACAATAGGTAATATACTGCCATTCTGCTATAAAAAATAAATTAAATCCGTGGCGTAATAGCTCCAGAGCCAAAGCCGACTAGCTTGACTGCTGGCCTCACGTTCACATGCCTAAGCAGAGGTGAACGATCATCCAACCAGATATAGGGCGACATGTGGTCAGCACGACGAACCCCCAGCCATTGCTAGCTTTCCTGACTGGATTACGCTACCCATTGTAGCTCCCCAATTTCCTCACGATGCAGGGTTGGCACCGGTCCCATACATTGGTCGAAAGCTCATGAGAAAATTTCTTTTCGCCCCCCAAGACTCGAACCAGCGCGCATTCCGTATCGCCGGTCCGACGCATGATGCCTCAGACCACGTGGCTATGGCGAAGGGACATGCCATTCTGCTATAGGTGTACCATAATATGGAGACTCTAAATAAGAGGAAGTTATACAATCTCCTGAGTGAAGTCAAGTGCTAACAAAATGCAAGTAATCGAAGGAACAGGTTTGAGATCTCAACAAAAAAAC